TTCCAGTTTCTCCACAACCTCATCAGCATTTGTTGTTTGCTGTTCTGTTAAATTTTGCTATTCTTCCTGGGGTGAGATGATATCTCCTAATTGTTTTGATTTGCATCTTTCTTAGAGATAGGGATTTTGAACATTTCTTCATGTCTTTCTTGGCCATCTGAATGTCATCTTTGAAGTATCTGTTCATATCCTGTGCCCATTTTTCAACTGGGTTATAAACTTTTATCTTGTTGTGGTGTAAAGTAATTATTTTTATGTTAAAGATAAGGAAATTATAGATCAGAACATAGAAAAATAAGGTAATTATATAAACAAGTTATGTACAGATAAAAAGAAGCAAATGAAAATCAATAAAGCACTGTGAAGAATATGTGGGATAAACTGGCCAAATCCAAATGATAATTTTTCTGAATCTGGTTATTTTATCAGCTTCCTACCTTTCCTTTGAGTTCTTACTTAAACTCCCAATGCACAGTTTGCTGCATTAAACCACCTTCTGATTTTGCTACCTTCTGTCCAACCTGGTACTTAATGCTTTGACTTCTCTTTTAGAGGATTGTCTAAATCTCAGTAAATGTCTGAAGAAGAATCTAACTTTGAATAGTAGTATTGGAGAAGATTCCTAAATATCCTATGGACTGCCAAAAGGACAAACAAATCTGGTTTGGATGATCAACCAGCGTGTACCTTAGAGGAAACAATGGTGAAACTATATCTCACATACTTAGGGCTACTCTCAGAAAGGGCCAGCTGGAGATACAGTGATTGAATTTTGTACAACCAATGACTTATTCATTGCAAATATGTTTTATAAGAAACATAAATGCAGGTTATACACATGGATTTCACCTGGTGGTATGCACAGGAATCAGATCGATTACATCTATAGAAAGAACCGCTGGAGAAGCTCAATATCAGCTGTGAAAACTAGGCCAGGAGCTGACTGTGGAACAGACCACCAGCTACTCATATGCAAGTCCAAGCTGAAGCTGAGGAAAATTAAAATGAGTCCATGGGAACCAAAATATGACTGAGTTCATCCCACCTGAATTTCAGAATTATTTCAGAACAGGTTTGAGGCCTTGAACACTAATGAGCGAAGACCTAATGAGTTGGGGGAGGATGTCAAAGGTATCATCCAGAAAGAGTGCAAACGGTAATTACAAAGTCAGAAGAGAAAAAAAAGACCAAAATGGATGTCAGAAGAAACTCTGAAGATTGCAGTGGAGTGCAGAGAAGTCGAAACACAAGGAAGAATTCAAGATACTAAAGAGCTGAACAGAAGATTCCAAAAGGCAGCATGGGATGACAAAGCAAAATATTATAATGAAATGTGTAAGGAGTTGGAGTCAGAAAATAAAAAGGGCCGAAGTCATTCAGCATTTTTTAAGCTCAAGGAACTGAAGAACAAATTCAAACCTCGAGTTGCTATAATCAAGGATGCTTTAGGCAGAATATTAAATGATCCAGAAAGTATTAAAAGAAGATGGAAAGAATATACTGAGTCACTGTATCAAAAGAAATTGGCAGAACACAGAAGAATTTAATGAAATAACATATGAGCAAGAG